AAATAACACCATGACTTTTGTAATACAGTAGAACCTCTTTAAGTCCAACTTCGATAAGTCGAAAACCACCAAAACTCGAAAAAACGTTTTGTTCCCTTCCCTTCAAGCCCCAAAACCTCCATTACTCGAAATCTCAACCCTCTATTAGGCGAAATGATCAGTGAGTCCCTGTAAGCCATTTTGGTACATATTTTCCCTCTATAACTCGAAAATAATTGTTGATTTATAATAAATAAAAATATGTTTGTTACCTCTGCCAAATCAAAATCCTCCATAAGTTGAAAACTCTATAACTCGACGTTTTTGGCGTCTCCTTTGATGTTCGAGTTATAGAGGTTCTACTGTATTTTGAAGCAAAATTACAAAATTGCTCAGTTTGTTCTTCCAAATATTTATTCGTTATTGATATCACCTTTATGTTATTCACAAATGGATTATTACAGCTTTTTAAGTCAATCTGTATAGTGGAAAATCCCCAACTGTTTAGCAACAATACACCGATAAAATATTTGAAGTAGGTAGCATACGAATATCTACACTTTTGTTTTAATTTCAAACTTACCATCCAGACTATCATATCCCAAAGTGATATCATCGACTTTCCCATTTTTATCCGGCAAATTAATTGCAATTACAGTAGCCCCGTAATTTATCACCTGCACACTAACACCGTTTCCATTTTTCCAAGTAAATCTTCGAATTGTCTGGGAAACTCCTGTTTGTGGATCTTTGAATGTTCCGAAATCGTCTTGTTCGAGTGTGACGGTATTACTATCAAAAATTCCCATTTTTAAAAAAAAAACAAATACTAGTCTTTCGTCTCTGAACGCTAACACGATATGTTGTGGTGTAACACAGTGTTTCAACTTTTATTTATCTTCTACTCGCAGCATAAAAATAAATTACAATTTTTAATGAGTCAGGATCGTACCGATAAACGAATCTCTCGTATACAGCTGGTAGCAGAAGCAATGATCTTCAAATAAAAAAATAAAATATAAAACAACCGATATGTAAACAATACCCGTATTAATTCTTCCGATAACACAGTACACATACTTACCTACTAACACAATGTGCTATTTTCCACTAATTACGTCTCGAAGTGTACAGCAAATTCCTAAACAAAACAACTTTCATACTTTAATTTAAAAAAAGATAAAACGCTTAAACGGGATTGGTGATTTTTTTATTTTGTAGAAATAAAACCACGGAAAAAAACAACAACTGATTAATCGAACAAATGAAATCACTAAATGATAGGGAATGTCTTAGTAGTTAATGTCCTCTAGTCACTGTACAAAATATATCTTACAATTAGTACTTTTATCGACACATCTAATAGTCGGTGTTTAGGGAATTCAGATAATCCGTAACTTTTAAGAGCAGATAACGACAGCGGATTCTTATCACTCTTGGTCATCATCAAATCATCATCATAAGGTCGTGAGTCCTAAGACTGATTGGACACGAACCACCCCTTTTTCGTATCCTCAGCTAATCTTCCCATTTCCCTAAAACTAGAGCATTCCGCATCCCTAATTATTTGCGAGCAGTAACCTAATCTAGGTTTACCTCTGACCTTCTTAACTTCTGCTTATATTTCTAATATGTCTCTTAAGGATGTTTGGGAGGTACAATCTGAGACAAGAGTACATAAAATTCGAAATTCGTGATTAATTAGGTTTTGCAGCATATCATAAGGTAAATAAATACTATCTATACTAAAAAAAAAGTATACGGTTTGAGAGAAAATTTGGAATTTATCAAAAAACTTTGAGTAAAATAAGAAATAACGAANGTTGATTAAATAAATTTAATCTGTTCGGTTAACAAATCTCCATAAAATGACGTGTAAAATTACAATTTTTTAAAATTTCAATAACATTTTAACGGTGTAGTGAATCGATTTATAATTTTTACAGAAGTTTTAGAATTAAATGAGGAACGTTCTTACAAATTTTTATTTGTCTCGTAGCATTTTGACATACCTCCCAAACATCCTTAACTAGCTCTTCATATCTAAGAAGGTGTCGTACTAATCTATTTCCCCTATTTGCTACTGACTTCTGTAGAGCCCCCTGTTCTCCTACTCTTTCCAAGGTATCTTCATAATCCGTTTATAACACCAAATTTCAAACGCTTTTCTCTACCGCTACGCTCAGCAGTCACGTTTCGCACCCCTACAGAGTCCTGCTCTAAACATAGACCTTTAACAAATTGTCGATTTTGAACGACTTTTTTGCTAAAGACGACTCGACTGTGCGCTGTTCTTTGCTTTTTGTCTCTAGTAAGTCTTTTATGTCTCTAATAACCCAATAAAACTGTTTAAACTCTTCATTAGATAATTTCGGTAATTTACGAAAACATTCCTGATAGGAGGCTGAAGAGGGCCATCCTCCCTACCTTCCGGCGTAGTTCGGAGGGACTGCCCCCCCCCCCACCGGCATTATTGACTGGTGGGAATGAAACACCCAAAAGTTTTTTTTACCGTTTTGATTCAATTTTTTAGAAATTGCAAACATCCACCATCAATTTTTTCACAAACACAAACAGAAAACATATTTATCATAATAATTTATAATTTACCCTCTCATAGTTCAAACATTTTTTCTTTTTGTCCCTCTGTGTAATTCAATTAAACAAGAATGTCCTTTTTCAAACATATATTAATTACAATTTTATAATATCTCATACAGCAAACGTAGTAAGATATGTATTTATGTCAGTGTAATACATTGTATAACCGTAAACATTTTTCTTACCGAAATTGTTTTATTCTGATCACGCTTTTACCAAGAATTTATAAACGCAGACGTGACGATATTGGTCACCAGGGTTAAGAACAACATTTGGAAAATTATCCTAGAGGGTGGAGGCAATTATTTAAAACATCTTTTTATTTTATATTATATTAACTATGACTTACGTGATGAATGGCATCAGGCCAAATTTGGGTTTCCAAACAGAACGCAGAATGTTTCCCATATTTATTTCCGCCTTTACCCTAAAAAGGAATTAATTTAAAAATAGTTAATTGCTCATGGCATTGGATTAACAGATTTAATTACTGTATGTTCGGGTATGGCGTTTCCGGTGTAAAATTGTACACCAGGTTGATCACTGTAGGTTTCTAGAACTCTTCCACTTTGGGGATGTTCTACTCTAAAAGATTGAAAATAATTTTCGATATAATTGTTTCGAAATAATAAATACCTCGAAACAAAACCTAAACTTTGACGAGTGCCTTTGTAAACGCAGAAATTATTATCAAAACCTAGAGCGTTGGGGACATTATTTATTACGTCCTTCAATTTTCTAGGTATTTGTAGATCAAACACTGTGTTTGCCACTGGTATAAGTTTGCCTAATAAGAATACAATTTATTTAAATTTAAATTTAAAGTCAGGAAAGTCTTAAATATAGTAGACATTAGGTAATTTTACTTATTCGAAGTATGTAGCTATTATACTTCAAATACTTTCTCTAGCGATCTGCCCCTTCCAATGTCTTGGATGCGGCGATGGAAAAATCGTAGGTAGGGAGAAAAAAGCTCATTACACTCTCGACTCTTGTTCATTAAACATATTTTTTCATACAGTACCTGCCAAAAGTTTTGCTCAATCATGAATAGTAGTGCGAGTCGGAAACAAGCGTTAAAGCCTTTAATATGTCTTCAAATATAAATAAACGTCTCGCTGATATTTTCAGTAGTAAATGGTACCAACAACAGTACATTTGAGCAATGCAATTGTAATGGATAAAATGGTCAATTTTTCCGTGCAGTACTGTACGAATTATACGCTCCTCACCGATTAAGAGTTTGGCCGAGAGTTGTCTCCTTCCTTTTCTGGCCTAGTGCTGTTCTTTTCTACTTTTCGCCGGTCAAACTGAAGGTCACATCGCTATAGAAACTAAACGAAGTATAACTTTTGGAAAATGGGAAGCAACTTCTATGAAAAAGGATTATGACGACAGCAGATAAATAGACTGCTTTAGTTTTCTAATTTTAAAGTAAAATACCGTATAAATTAAAATCATGGAAACCTTAAATTGAAAAACCTCTCAATTCGTACCTGTAGGTATTCCACCATCTGTTTCGGTGTACCTATCGGCATTTATGGTAACAACATGTTCCAATAAACCGTTAGCACCAGACCCATTACCAGCCAAATTAAAGTACGAATGATTGGTAAGATTAACCAGAGTAGGTTTGGTAGTGGATGCTTTATAATCAATAACTAGCTCGTTTTCATCAGAAAGTTGGAAAGTAACATTAGTCACAACATTTCCTGGATAACCTTCTTCACCATCTGATGAAGCGTAACTAAATACAACCTTAGTGCCTTTGACATAATAATCCCAAACAACCTTATTGAAACCCCTTAAACCACCATGTAAACTATTCGGACCATTATTGGCAGCTAACTGATAAACATTACCATTTAGCGTAAAGGTACTGTTACCAATACGATTTGCTACTCTTCCCACAGTAGCTCCGAAGTATCGGTTGTTGGGTTGAAGGTACCCTGATAATTAAATTAATTATTTTGCGACATTTTTAAAACAGCTAGCTATTTCTTTTTTTCTTATTATCGCTATACTAATTCTCTACAGCATTAGAAAATGGCTCATAAAAACGAAAAATGAAAAAAAACGGTAACGAGTTAGTGACGATACTCCTGATGAATATTACCATATGGTACTGAGAATAAAAACGGAGATAATAACATTGCAGTAATGAAATCAGTTAGCATAAGCACATAAAAAATTTGATTTGATATGATACTGATGTTTTTCTGCCAATAAACGCTGCATTTAAAGTAACAATAAAATATTATATATAAAAGAAATTATGAGTGCTGTCAGCACAGGGAAAAGTAGTATTACGTAATTAGTATCAGCAATTTCTTATGCTGATGTGTACGATGTGTTGCATACTTGTTTACAAATTTATCAAACAATTTTTAACACAGAGTGATTAAACAAATTGTTCACAAAATTGAATTTCGACCATTCGAAGCACTGATAGGGGGGAAGAACTTGTTAAAATTAATGATAATTTAACACTAAATAGTATGTTTTAATTAAATCAGTGTATACATGAAAAAGAACTAATTTAAAAATAAAGTAGAAGATACAGTTTTCACTCTTTTAAAAATAAATGGTTATCACAATATATTCGAATATAAATGTATGTCAGTAAGCTGATTACAAAATGCTGTTCATCAAAAACACCAGTCAATTTGTTGGAAATAATAAATAGATTAGACATTAAGACCTTTATAAATAAGGATTATCTTTTAAGTTTGGATATGCATACCTATATCTGACGTCATAATCGCAACTACTTCCAATCAATCTTACAAATTGACGGTTTTTCATAGTTAATATGAATAAATATAATAAATAATAAACCAACAAAGCAGGACAAATTACAAAAAAAAACGGGATTTATTAATTGAGTAAATTGGAAGGATTGTGACGCTATGTATGTATAGGTACAATGGGCAATACGAACCCACCTTAAAGAATTGAATTTGTCAACACGAACCCTCAATTAAAAAAAAAAATGTTAATTATTTGTTTTAAGGACCACGTCTCTCATTTATTTATGTATATATTGGACCCAGAAATCTTTCCTTTCCCCTTCTAGTTTTGGGAGATTGAAAAAAAAATAAAAGTAAGACAACCAAATCGAACTCATCTACGTTTTATAAATTTTGTCATAAAATTACACGATTTATGTAGACACATATATTTTTGAAGATTTTAAACTGTTCTTCGTTATTGATATCACATTTATATTATCCACAAGTCGATTATTATACAGGGTGCTTCAAAAAAATGTATACACACTTTAAACTATTGTAATTTTCCCGCTCTACAAGGCTAATGGTATATTTCTTCGCCAGGTGCCAGCATAATCGTCCCTCTATGTTATATTATCAGTTGGAATTTGTAATATCAACATGGGGGACGTACGTTTGAGTTTTGAAGAACGTAAGCAGGTTATTAAGTGGTACTGGAAGTTTGAGAATGTAAATGAAGTTCAAAGACAGTGGANCTGGATTTCTTCTTGTGGGGCACAGTAAAAGATGAGGTGTACAAACGTAAACCACGTAACCTAGACATTCTTTGGAATGAGATTCAAGCAGTGTGTAGAGAAATCTCATTGGACGTTTTGATACGATGTACAGAATCTGTGGTGACTCGTACTCAGAATTGTATTGATGCTGTAGGTCACCAATTTGAACAGTATTAACATTTGTTATTTATGTTTCATTTACATTGGACTTTCAGCTTTCTATTTTCCTGAAATTTAACTTTGTAGAACGGTAAATAAATTTTCTATGGAAGTTCAAAGTGTGTATACATTTTTTTGAAGCACCCTGTATACCTATGTACCTACTCAGTTTAGTGGATAATTCTCAACTGCTTAGCAACAATACACCAATAATATGTTTAATTGATAATATAATTAACAAAAATAGATAACACACGAATATCTACGTTTTTTTTTTCTCTAATTTCACTTACCTTCCAAACTATCATAGCCCAATGTAATGTCATCAACTTTACCATTTTTATCAGGTAAATTAATTGCTGTTATAGTAACCCCGTAATTTATCACCTGTATACTAACACCGTTTCCATTTTTCCAAGTAAATCTTCGAATTGTCTGGGAAACTCCTGTTTGTGGATCTTTGAATGTTCCGAAATCGTCTTGTTCGAGTTTGACGGTACTATTTTCAAAAATTCCCATTTTTTCTTTCGCTCGCGAACACTAATATAGTACCTATCTCAATATTTGAACCTTTATTTAACTTGTAATCGGAACATAAACAACATAACGTAACACGCAACATTTAATAATATATGAAGATTATACAGATAAACGAATCGCTCATGTACAGCTAGTACTAAAAACAATGATGAACAAATAAGTGTATATATACGTATATATGTATAAAACAACAGATATGCAAATAATCTTCGAGTTATTATTTTCCATTACTTTTGTTACGAAGTGTACCTGCTGCAAATTCTAACGCAAAATATAAGTTACATAATTTTTAATAAAAAAAAAAGATAAAACACTTGAAAATCTCATTGGAAGATTGAAACATTATTGAAATATCGTTAAATCCATGCTGTGACACAATTTTGAAATAACAAAACACTAGTTAACGTATTATGTACATCCATCATCCATCCATCATTACTTTTCAGTTATCAGTTAACACATACCATACTTACAGGGCGATACGCTGTTAGAGAAAGTGAATACCTAATAATACGTTATAAAAAACATTTTTAACTGCTTATTATACTAGGAATAAACAGAATTTTGAAATTTTCTATTTATATTAAAAACTGTATTTTAACAGTTTAATTTTTTTAAAAAGCTCTATTTATTTACCTATTCATATTTATATTTAAATCGATTTTCATAAAAGAAGAAGCAAATAAAATAATGAACGTATTCATCCTCGGATGCTGTGTAACAAAAATAAATCAAAAAATATTTTAACTAATCTGTGTGAAGGGTAGACCTCTACCTTCCATACTAATCTGTTAATTACAACATGTTGGCGTTATCTATATGACGTTATCTCGATGTTGATTCTAAAAATATATCTAGGCTAGCGTTTGATAGATGTCGCTTTATAAAATTTAAAAAATTCTGGAAATAAATTCTTTAACATGATATCTGTGAAATATCGAAATGTATACTTCGTAGT